CTGTTATCGGTTTTGTGTTTTGTCTTGTTGGAATGTGATCGTCTCTGTATCTGTCATGGACACGCTGTGATACATTACGTAATGTGTATTTAATATCCTACTAGTACACGTGTACCATTGATATAAATGTGTATTCCATCATCACAATATAATTCTTCATTATCACTGAGTTTCCTGTGCTCTATATAAATACATTGTTCAGTTTCATCACATTTGTTCTTTATTCTCTGATTCAATTTTGTTATGTCATAGTTTATACTGTCCTTGTTTCTCTGCTGCAACAAAATACTTGATACAGCAATCTGTGCACCAGAAAACTTGTTGCGTATATTATCAATCAGACTATCCATTTGTCCACTGACAAAGTCAATGTCATTCTTAATAATAATAATATACACTCACTTCTGCTGTGTCAACACTCCGATGTCAGAAGAGCTTTACGTATGAATGGGATACTACTATTAAAGTGCACAGTCTTCCAGATGAGTCTTTTAGGCGTATCTTTTCACTTTGTCTGTGACGTTCATAGTGTCAAATTATCAGTTTCGAAAATAGTATTTCTTAAAATATGCTTGAAATCAAACGATTTTCTGAATACAGAACGTGGGTCTAATAACTATAAATTGTCTATACAATTAGTTGCAGGTGAGTTGTCATGTGGTATAGCATTCATAACACCATCAACAAATATTGATGGCAACATTTCATGCCTAGGTCAGTTGAAGTGAAATTGTCAGTTCAACCTATCCAAATAATATCCGTTTCTCTAGTCGCATGTTGGATTGATTGTGATGAATAAAGACTGCAACCTAATAATAGTGGTTACATCTGCATCGGCCACTTTCAAAATTGCAGGCTTGCTTTGCTGGAGGTATGCTATACGAGGACAGTAAAAACGTTTTCAGAGAGCAATTCTAGTATTACAAGTTTCTATCACTGGTTAAATGATGGTTATGTCATAACAATTGAAATTTTTAACCCTGCTACAGACTCAGAGGAAATGGTGGGGGCGAGCAGAACATTATTTATAAAGGCAAAGAAACCATGCCTCCATGTCAATGTTCACCACCTGGTAAAGTTTAAATACATTTTGTAAAATATCAGAGAAGTGAATATTGGGGTCACAGACGTAACTGAACACATTTAAAGTTAGTAGAGAAAAACACACTCCCACCACAGTATATCAATGTATTGACAGAAAAATGCATAATTTTAACCAAAGTAACAACCAATGGCATCCAAAGCAGAACACTATTTTTTTTTAAAACTGTTTAAGTAAATTACACTCCACATCGATGACACTATTCAAAGATAAATCCAAGCAAATCACAGAATGCTGCATTGAATAGCTCATAAATATGCAATGTACTGGAATGTGCAATTATTAAATATTTCATATCGTAAGACGCGATTACATCAGACATTTGATATTTCTGTAGATAAGTCGGTTATGAACAAAAAATCTCGATATGACAAACAACATACAAAGAAACGCCATGTCAGGTACTGTATTGGTTTTGATACTTGCGTCATTACGTTATTCCTCAGATAAGGGATTTGATATTTCTGTAGATGTGTCGCTTATGAACATACAATATCGATCTGACAAACAACATACAAAGAAACGTTCACAGCCTGCGCTGATTTTGTCCAGATGTTATGTTCATAAGCGACATATCTACAGCAATATCAAATGTCTGCAGCTGTAATCGGGCCTTTCGATATAATAAACATAATAATTGCGCATTCCTGCACAATATGCGTTATTTTAAATTCTCGCCTTAGAATCCCCTGCAAAATCACCGCATACGTGTGCAATCACTTCTACATTGCTAACACTCCGATGTCAGAAGAGCTTTACGTGTGAATGTGATACCATTGTTCAGGTGCACAGTCTTGCAGGTGAGTCTTCCAGTGACATGTTATAACTTTGTCTATGAATTTCATATTCTGAAATTATCAGTTTCCAAAATAGTATTTCTTAAATTATGCCTAAATTCAAAATGTTTTTCTGATTTTTTGTCAGCACTCTGTTCAATCTATCCAAAAAGTACCCGATTCTCTAGTTGTATAGTGGGTACGTTGTACTGAATTTAGGTCGGAACCATGTGATTTCTGTGGTCTGGAATCGACTAAGTTGTATTGCATGACGGCACCCTGCTCCTGCTTTCATGACCGTATCACATGATCGTTGTTCTCTAGCCTAGCTGACATTCAGCCCAACACTGACTACGTTACATACTTCATTATCAAGCAAACCTTACAATCTATGTGTTGTGTCATGAATTAGTTTTCGCGTATCTGTTGATCGACTTGTTTAGCTGATTACTAGTGAATGGCTGTGTTAAATCTGTCTTCATTAAGGCTCATGCGAGGTCCTAGACGGAACATGACTCAGTGATTTGGAACTAATTACGATATAACCGTCGCTTTCCGGACTACTAATTCTGACAGTTGGGTATTCACAGTTAGTAATATTGTGAACGATTAATCAAAATATATGACGTGTTCAGTACTTAGTTTGATTGGCTATGTGCAAATTGAATATGTGAAGTGTTCAAACTGCTTTGTAATTGGTTAGGTTTTGATATGTAATAAACAGTCTAAGTCCTTGGTCAGAGAGAGAGAGAGCTCCACGAGGCGGGAGAGTCTTGGTCAGTGCTGGGCAAAGAGACCCCGACGAGGCAGTTCGCTTTAAGGCGTTCTCGATGTGGCGAATGATTAGCTATTGAAACGTATTTTGTTGTGTGTGTCTTATTTGACTGTAAAGCTTAAGTGACTTTCCCGGTCCGGTACCTCAAACAAACAAAATATAGAGACAGACAAGAAATTTCCCATTTCCCTTTGACAGTTGCCTGCTGCTCACTTCTTAGGTCTCTCTATCGATAACAAGGTTGTTTGTTGCAGCAATCGATTACCAAACTGATCAACTGACTACGTCAGAATTGTTCAGTAGCAAATTATTCGGCAATTGAATTTAGTCTGATGCTCCATTCGCACCATCTTGACACCTGTATTCAACAACAAAAAGTTGGAATAAAAAAATTTGAACATTTCTAAGAAATGAATCTCTTGGTTGTGAAGTGAAATATAATTCAAATACTGATCACCATATGATTGTGGTTAATGTCATCTACTGTATTCCATTTCCAGTACTAAAGTTGAATTGAAAAAAATGCAAGTATCAAAACCAATACTTTACCTGACATGACGTTTCTTTGTATGTTTGTCATATCGAGATTTTTTGTTCATAACCGACTTATCTACAGAAATATCAAATGTCTGATGTAATCGCGTCTTACGATAAGAAATATTTAATAATTGCACATTCCAGTACAATATGCGGTGTTTAAAACTTCTGTTACTAAGGCGAGAATTTAAAATAACGCATATTGTACAGGAATGTGCAATTAATATGTTTATTATATCGAAAAGCCCGATTACAGTTGCAGACATTTGATATTGCTGTAGATATGTCGCTTATGAGCATAACATCTCGACAAAATCAGCGCAGGCTGTGAACGTTTCTTTGTATGTTGTTTTTCAGATCGATATTGTATGTTCATAAGCGACATATCTACAGAAATATCAAATCCCTTATCTGAGAAATGACGTACCTTGGGCGTCATGCATATTTATGAGCTATTCAGTGCAGCATTCTGTGATTTGCTTGGATTTATCTTTGAGTAGTGTCATCGATGTTGTTTGTATTGTGATTGACTTAAACAGTTTTCATGAATTCGAACTTGTCTTGAAAAGGAAAGAGTGTTCTGATTTGGGTGCTATGTGACCCCAAAATTCATTACAAAACGCTTCAGCGTGGTATTAAGAATTTGTTTTCAGGGGTAGGTCATACCAAGGTGGAAAATGATTGCACACATGGAGGTAATTCCTGGAATTGCAATCGAGAGGGTTCAGGCGGAAATACAATATATAGTGTGGTATAAACAAGGATCAGTGATTACTTGAAATCGAAGTTTGTCCAACTCCCTGTGGTATAACTAAAACCGGACACCGTAAACGAAGTTCGCAAAAAACATTCAGTTTTTAGAAGGCACTTTAAATTATTGTATTGTTAGGACGTACTCTACTTTTAAATTTATTATTTTCAACCGTTTTGCGATAGTATTTTTCTAGATTGTAGGCAGCATTTACATTCCATTCAAAGTTCAAAGTTGTGTTGGGATTACGTTGATACATTCACAGTCCCAATAGAAGGACTGTGACACAGTGTAACAATGTTGTGATGAATTTGTATTTGCGTATCTATTAATCGACTTAAATAGCTGATTACGAGTGAATGGCTGTGTTATGTCTGTCATCGTTTAGGCCAATGCGAGGTCCAGCACGGAAATTGGTTCAGTGATTTGGAACTAATTACGAGATAACTGTCGCTATTCGGACTACTATTTCTGACAGTTAGTATTCGCAGTTATTAATGTAGTGAACGATTAATCAAAAGATATGACGTGTTCAGTACTTAGTGTGATTGGCTGTATGATTGAAGGTTACGCCCTAGAGTCTTTTTATTGCTTTGTAATCGGTTAAGGTTTTGAAAGTGAATAAAGAGTTTTTAGTTGGTCTTGGCGAGAACACCACGATAGACGCAGTCCAGTCCTAGAGAGTCTTGGGGCGAGTCTTGATGCAGTCTAGTAGAGTCTTGGGTCAGCCTTGCGATAGTCTTGGGGACTTTTCTCCAGGGCGCTGTGTCTTATATAGTGCTCGACTGACCGACTAAGACGGGAGTTGAAACGTATTTTTTTGTGTGCGTCTATTTGACTGTAAAGTTTAAGTGACTTTCCCGATCCCGCACCTCAAGGGGACGCGATAAAGAGAAAAGACACCATTCCCCCCTGACACGTGTGGGGAACCCAGAGAAGAACCCCCCCCCATACGTGATGTAAGAACCCTGGGCATTGCGTCTTACGCACATTGACATCCTGTGAAGAAAAGTGAAATGGCAAAGATGTGTCTTTGTTGTGAACCGAACTAACAGCTCGATGGCACAAACGACTCGGAAACCGAGCTTGACGACTAAAGCCGTTAACGTTAACACGTGTGGGGAACCCAGAGAAGAAGATTCTCCCCCTCATAATGTTGTCGGCGCCAGTGATCTCTTACCAGTGTGCAACGTAGCCAAAATAAAAAGGCATGCCCATTTGAACACTATTACAAGACTGGTATGAGGTAATACATTTGGGGCGAAAGTATTCAAAAATACAGGTCAAATATTGACTAGAAAATTAGGATTCAGGTCTGCTATATTGTTTGGGGAAGGTCTACTGAATTTAAAGATTTCTATTAACATTCAACAACAACAAAAAAGCAAATGAAAATCATCCATAACAATATGTCTTTTCTATTTACAGAAATACAAACCTTTATATCAGAAAATCATAATTATGTTCCTCGAAGTGATAACATATGCAAGATTGATGCACAATTCAATAGCTCTTGCTATATTTCTAATGGTTTTCTTAATGGTCTGGAGTGTACATCGACCACGTGGCATGCCTCCTGGACCACGTGGTCTACCAATCATTGGCAGTATTTTGTGTAAGTCGTATTAATAGAACTCAGATGTAAATGTTCGCTGAGATCTACTTGAGAGTGAGAGAGACAAGAGTTCTGTTTTGCTTCCCGAATTAATGTTCAATTCTCTTCTGTTATCAAGTCAACTTTCACCTAGCCTATGTAACCATACTATTTGGAATGATGATTTTATTGTCACAGTGTAAGGCCTACTTGTTGATGTTGAGAGGGACACCCACAGAAATCACACTGGTTTGGGGGGTTCATTCACATCTAGAATGGGTTAAATAAGGCAATAGTACTGGGAATGAAATACATATAAACCAAAATATCGAGTTAAAGCTCCTGGCTTTAATACCTCAAAATAATTACAAGAAACAAAACACAGAATAATACAATGCATGAATTTACTAAAATAGGGGATTGCCTAGGGAAGTGTGCATTGGTGATAACTCACAGTTCCAGGATGTGAAAATTGTTGACAATTAACTGCTTCTGAAACACAACAATGAAGATATACAGGAGTCTTGCTTGCAGAGGAACGCTGTTATTCTGGAGGACACCGCAGTAGGAGATCACAAAGAAGTTCATACAAGTCTCACAGAATTATGATTGAAGCCTATATCACCTGTCTCAAAATATCGCAGCAGCAACGCACAGAGTACTCAATTGAAATGGTGGACCACAACTGGCCTCAATCTAGCCTATTTATATGGCCTAGTTTCAGGAACACCACCCGGGTTTCCAATCAGAATGTGGTCTTGTTAGCAGCTGTCTCATGATGACATGCATGTAAATCACAAGCACACCTGGTAGATTCCACTATACTTCCAGAGTTGTAAACACCCTTTGTTATGTAAATCACAAGCACACCCGGTAGATTCCACTATTCTTCCAGAGCTGTAAACAAGTATGACCTATCAATCACCTTTATGACAGTTATAACATGGCTATGCACAGCGTTTCTTCCCATGATTCTATGCACACTTCTATTTGAAAGGTTTGAGGTTATATATGAAAAAAGCATAGAATAAACTGCTGACATTGTCCCTACATCAACATGCCACATTTTCAATCCAAATATCAGCATTAACTGCCAGTTAATTTACATTTCCCTAAATTGGAAAACAAATGTGTAACAGTAATTTTAAGCATTCTCAGTCATGCCTAAATAGTCGGCACCTATGTTTTCTTTATCTTTAATTGCTATAATGCAGTTTAAACTATAAACTAGTAAAACCAAAACAAAAATTGAAGGTCTTGGGGTTAATCTTGTCTTATTTAAACGAGCCAAAATATGTTCAATATGTGCAACTCCACGAATGATTTTGAATAAATCAAAATGTCATCAATTAAATTCTCAACTTTACTTTCAAGACCTACAAACAAAATATGCATCATATGAGAAAAAGTGGCTGGTGCATTCACAAGCCCGAAAGGCATTCCGAAACTGAAATAAGGTATTAGAAAAGCTGTCAGTACCCCCTTTTGGTGAAGTATAGACCTTCTTTCATTCGTGAAAATAGGTCTTCAGGCGAAGACATTGGTTCTGCATCAAACACTGTAATGCGATTTAGTTTGCAAAAATTAATGCAAAACCTAACACCCCTTCTTTCTTATTAACCAAAACAATGGATGAAGCTTAAGGTGAATTTGATGGTTCAAATACTCCCATCACTAAATTAATCTGACCTCACTACATCTGTCATAGTGAATGGTAAAGGATATGGTTTGGACCTAACTGGTTCAGATGTTACCAATTTAATATCATGCCCGCCAATTTCAGATTTTCCAGGACAATGAGTGAGAATATCAGAAATTTTTCTCCCAACTCCATCAATCTCTCCATGTTGGCCGACATTCATCTGATAGCCAACATGACATTCAACAATTGTTTCCTTAAACTTAATTGGCACAGACTCTATTCCACCACTATCACACAATATTGTGTCACTTTTTGCAGTGTACACACAGTTCATCACACCCGTAACCACTTTCTAGTCATTCAGTTTGTCCCTTTCATAATATGCTTCCAACAAGTTAGCATGATAAATTGTTACCTCTCCTTCACACCAATTCTGTAATCCACCCTGCCCCTGCCATTGCATCATCAACTCATTGTTGTCTGTGGAAAGTAACACCAACACTTTGTCACCAGGTTGGAATATCCTTGGCCTTCCTATCATTATACTTTTTGTATCTAACCTTTGCCTTAGCTAACTCAGCTAGAGCCAATTTACATGTCTCTTCAAGACAATTTCGCAAATCAAGGACATATTGGTATGTAGTTTTAATCTCTTGTGTAGTGGCCACCTTTGTCCATAACTCATCATCATTGGGCCCTTACTGTTCTACCATAAGTAAGATTGAACGGTGAAAACCCTAAACTCTCCTGAGGAGCTTCTATATAGGCAAACAGTACTGGGTCAAGATACCTATCTCAATCCTTGGTCCATTTTTGACACATGTGTTTTAACATAATTTTAAAAGTAGTATTACACTGCTAAACCAAACCATTACATGGTAGGTGATATGGAGTAGTTACTAATACTAGTTACTAGTTACTCACTTCTTTCATAATGTCAGATACAAACTGTTTCCCTAAATAAGTTAAAACTTTTTTGGGTACACCAACCCTATTATATATACTGACTAATGCATCAGCAACCACCTTGGAAGTAATTTTCTATAAAACATAGTGAAGCATAGCCTACAACAGTAAAAAATGACCTCTCTCAGTCGCTGGACTGATCGGACCAAGCAGATCTATAACTATCATTTGAAATGGAATTTCTATCAAGGGCATATTGCCTGATAGTACCTTGGTAATTCGACCCTTAGAAGTGGTCTCCTGGCATATACAACATGACCTGCAATACCTAATAACACATCCTGCATCCTATACCAATTAAACTAAGTTGCTATTGCTATACTTGGTCATAGTAACACAATGGTACAAATAATTGGGAAAACACACACATCCTCTAGCATATTCTATGAGGTGACTCTCTATACATCAGCCCCTTGTTCATCAAAATCCTTTCCCGATTGCTACACACTAACTTCCTAGCACGCTCTAATCAGACACGTGGAAACAGACTGTTGTTTCCACGTGTTTATTACTACCATTAGTATCAACCTTATGATGCAATTCCTTAAACTCAGGAACTATAAGTCTATGTAATGGCTTTCTCAAGGCTAACTTCTGAGCCGTAGTCTGTACCACCTGTACAACGTCAATAAATATCATGCTAACTGGAATCAACGTATCACAATCACAATCACCCCCACTAAATGAAGATTCTCGTATAACACCTGGAGAACAACCTTCACCAATAGAGGCGACACTAGCCTGACCACTAGTAAATGTACAACCTTCATTACCTAAGTGAAAACTAGTCTCAATACCCGAAGGACAACAACCAATCACTCGAAGGAGTACTATGTTCACCTCCTGAGGGCAAACTAACCTCACCATGCCCTACCTTATGAGCTAAACCTAGCTTCCAATCATAATTAGGATTCCGAGCTCGACTAATATTACCAACAGTAAAATCATACACTGGGATCCTCATACACAGTGCCTCGGCTTCACCAACATAAAAGGGAGTATCGATATATAGTCTAGCTACTGGTGCTTTCTGACATATCCCATCTATCATTACACAGGTTCGACTCTCCCCAGTCAATTGACTATCCTCTACCAACTCTCTACATACTTCAACCGAACTACACCTGCTACCACGAATACCTCTGCCTCAGTACTGCCAATAAAGCCTTGAACAACAGGCATACCACTCACTATACTCACTATACTATGAGCTGGTGCAATGCTGGCAACAATAATAATAATAATTGGCAGCTCATGGCCACATTTCAATTCAACTTTATCTCTGTAAACATGGATTCCTACTTGCATCTGTGACTTCATAAACTACACAAGTAGCACTGACTTCTTGTGAATTATTATTTCTATTCCGATCACATGCCAGCATATCAGCTAACTCATCAACTGATCTCTCATCACTAAGTCCTTAGCTCCTTCAAAACTCCTATCAACTTCAGACAGCTCTACCCATCGGTCAAAATAACTACTTAATGTAGCTGCAAATTGCGAAATGCTCACTTCACCTTCTGCCCTACTAGTTCTATAACCTTCTTCATTGATACCATAACGCTTCAACAAAGCTGTCTTTACAACATAGTAATCGACTGTGCTGCAGACAATGCCGAAAACACATACAAAGCTTTGCCTGTCATTTATGCATTAAGAATCTCTCCAACTTTCATGTGGCCATTTCTGAGTTGCAGCGAACCATAAAATAAACGCGTCTATCTCGTTCCTAGTGTCACCGAACAATGGTAGCTTTGGTCCCTTAGAACTAACAATGGAATGAGCCAACTGTTCTACATCTCTATTTTGACCCTTAGCATCCTCATGTAATCTCAACACTTCAAGTTCATGCTGTCTTACTTTCTTTTCTCGTTCCCTCTCTCTCCTCTCTTTCTATCTATATTGCCTCACGTTCTTTGTTTCTTTCCTCATGTTCATTTTTCAACCTATCAGCCTCACGTTCAGCCTCACATTTGGCTTCTCTCTCATCCATCTCCTCACGCTTTTTTTCTCTCTTCCAGTATTATTAAATAAAGCAATTTAATGTCTACCTATCAGTATAAGCTGTTCTCTAGACCTTAAGCAGTTACGAAACAGTCAATTTAGTCAGGTATTATTGACAATAGAATCCCAAATAGATATCAAATTGATACTATCAATTTGATATCTATTTGGATGCTATCATAGGGAAACAAAATCAGAATCAATACCTTTTAAATCAGAATTAAAATGTTCGGACAAAGGCATGTCCCTGCAGAAACATCTAGAATAACAGCTACACTAGTGATCTCTCCAGAGAAATGTTGAACAATATCTTAGTCGTAGCATGACTAACTGATTTTACTGCATGTATTTTCATTCTAATACAATTCAGTCAGGGCTATATGTCCGATTATTAGACAGTGTACACTCATAATTAGGTATTTTTTTAATCAGTAGTGCAAAGAAAGTTTACTTGCATCACATCCATTAATGTAACATTAATGTGGTACTGCCAATGCAGTGACATACATAATATGTTACAAAAATGTATTAATTACATTGGCGGATTTCCTTTTATCAGAGTAGGTATTATATACCCCCGTGCCAAAAAAATGTTGAAGTCTGTCAACAGCAGAAGTTGCCAATAGTTGAAAAATGGGTTGACAAATTTGCGTTGTTGACAAAACTTTGAACATTCTTGACGGCTGTTGACTCAAACCTCTCCAGAAGAAACATAATCAAGCTAGGTAATTAGCTCAGACCTTGTTAATCCAGGCGGTGTTTAAATGGAGATTTGTTGACCACAGAATCGCCTTTCTGAAGATGTTTGATGGCGATTTACAATAAATCTTTAGAGTTATGAATAACTGGCTATCCTTAATTTGAAGTTCAAATCAGCTTTTTGCAGTATGACTTGTGGCGATAAATTCAATGTTTTCGCAATAGTGTTCAGGTTATATGGCTTATGTTACAACACTATTTGAGGAACAACAAACAAGACTCATGTGATCAGCCACTTGCGAATATGCTCTTATGGTAAAACAAAATAAATTAATGTAGATATGTACATTAACATTACATTTCAAGTCATGTTTTTTTGAGATTCTATTGAAATATATATATATATAGGATATATCCGAGATTGTTATCAACAATTTTTTTTTAAATATTTCGAGCTTTTTCTGTTTATTATTAGTGAAATGGCATAGTATTCAAATAAATATACAACAAGATATAATTAATAAATTATCCGGTATTATCATGATATTGCATATAATCCAATAGTTACGTATAATATTTGTGTCATTTCTTTTATTTCAGCCATAACACAAAACATACATAATGACTTCCAACGGTTGGCAAAGAAATATGGCGATATATTTGCCATCAAGTTAGGGAGTCAGCAAGTTGTTGTTCTAAACAACTATGAACTGATCAAAGAAGCCTTAGTTATTAACCAAACTGACTTTGCAGGTAGACCAAACACATTCACAGGTATGTCTGTTAATTACAACTGGTCGATATTTGTAGTAGGACAAATGAACTGTGTATTATGTTGTACATTATCGAACTGTGATGCTGGGTAATTTGCGTTTCCTGGAATATTCAAGTGATATGAGAACCTCAGTGAAACGTCTTATATGTGGTTGAGCACAGCGTGATAGCAAGCGAAAAATACGATCCATTTAGGTAGCAAATACAGCGGCCCATGGATACACAACGTTATGTTTCTAATTGTGCAATACCTGACTTTCAGTTCGGTCGAAGAGTGGCCTAGAAGTTAAAACACAGACCCCATTATGGAAGGCAGTCCAGCATATGCAACCAATTTAATTTATAATTCAGCGGTACTCGGTGAGTCACGTGGGAGAAATGTTGGGACTGGTTGGTCTGCAGATGATTCTGATAACATTTCATAATCTGGCACGTATGCAAATCGAATTAGTAGTTAGAACTACGGACTCCAATGTCAACATTTCACATAATGAAACTAAACAAAATCAACGCTTTAAGCAAGATCTGTAGCTGATAAGACATTATGTTTAATTGGTCCACATTCATGAATAAACAGTAGTGCTAAATTTTTACTTAAAAACAATTAAAAAAAATATGTCGCCCAAAGGGTTCACGTTAAAGTGACTACATATAATGCCATGCAATTAGCCTATAACATGTGGTAGACTAATTGATCTTAATTACAGGAGATATGATATCCGAAGGCAGTCAATTCATCGTTCTAGAGGACTATGGAGCCATATGTAGAATGCAAAGGAAAATAGTGCACAGTGCTATAAGGTAATGCACACACACACACACACACACACACACACACACACACACACACACACACACACACACACACACACACACACACACACACACACATACTTGTATTGCTATATATTCCGAGGACTTCATTGGATTAACTTTTAGTATAGTTGAATTAACTTTTAATATAGTTGAATTAACTTTTAATATAGTTGCGATATGAACTCGATTAAAACGCGTTCCTATATATGGTTGCGTTTTAATTGGATTTTAATTAAACTCAATTACAATGCAATACAATGGAGAATTGCACTTTCATTAAGTTTAATTAAACTAGAGTTGAATATCCCGTGACTGAACATAGGAATGTTTCCGAAGCTTAGGTTTAGTATCGGGGTAAGGTATGGTATAATTATATTAATATTAATATAAACTGAACCAT